AAAAAAATGTAGGGTCTTAAACTTTCTATTAAATTCCGTCAAGTAAATTAGAATTTTGTAGGGTCTTAGCTAAAATATTGAATTTTGTCGAGAAAATTTTAAATGGTATATAATAGTGTAGGATCTTAACCATTATTTTTATATTTAGACAAGTAAATTTTAATGATAATGTAGGGTCGTAGTCTTACTATTAATTTCACTCAGGTAAATTTCAATTGTATATAATACAGTAGGGTCTTAACCACAGTATTTATTTTAGTCAAAAGAGAATTATGATATTGTTGTGTCTTGAAAAGAATATTTGATTTATTCAGGTAAATTTGCTTTGTATATATATTGCAGGGTCTCAACCGTAATATTTATTTCAGTCAACTGAATTTAAAGTTTATATAATATTGTAAACTAACCTAATTTTTTAGCTTTTTATTCAGCCATTCTCTTCCACAACAACATTTTATCATCATTTCATGTTGAAATTGCGAAAATGAAAACGTTTTTATTGAAAAACGTGTCCTAGATTTGTAATTGTGATAACCAATCGGAGCATGTTGGCCTGATCATATAATAACTAGACGATGGTGAAGGTCTGACATGTTTAAACTCGGGTCCACGCGCTCTCATCATCGGGCGTAACCACATTTCGGGAATACCGAAACATGGCGCACCGTGCGTGCGTGGGGGCAACCCCGTCTCAGCCTCCATCTGATGGCAGCATCAGGCAGTCCCGTGAAACATTTGCGTGGGAGTTCCCTTCACCGCCATGTCGGGATAGTGCACAATCTCTCTTCCCCCCTCTCTCCCTCTCTCTCTCTCTCTCTCTCTCTCTCTCTCTCTCTCTCTCCGCGCATCCTCCCCCACAGTAAGAGCTTAGCACAGCAGAAGCGGCTCCTACAGCATCCAGCAGCAGCAGCTCAGCATCCATCCCTGCCTGGGGAGCAGCAGCAGTCCTACCCGGCGCAGCAGCGACGCACGGAGGGGGCGCATCATCCAAGTGATGCCACAGCATCAGTCGCATTTCGACAAGAAGCACTGAGAGCAGGATCCTAACAGGAGGAGGAGGAGAGAGAAAAAGAAGAAGAAGAAGAAGAAGAAGAAGAAAAAAACCCGCTTCAGCCTCGAAGACGGCAACTGCTCATGAAGATGTCTAACGCTGACATCGTCTTAAACGCCACCGATCGGATGGTGAAATGTAAGTTAGCCTACATTTACCGTTTGGTTATGGCTGAATTACATAACATCTCAAGTGCTTCTTGTGCTTTTGGTAAAACGTGGCCTTTTTTTTTCTGTTATTATCATTATTATGATGTCGTGCATATGCGGCCGTCAAGTTGTGCTCCTGCTGATGGTAGTGGGCAACTGGAGCTTTGATGTTGATAAACAATCTTTGCTGCACAGCCCCCACGAACAGCGAGCAGAGAGGCAGCAGCAGCAGCAGCAGCAGCACCGGGAGATGTTCAATATGTATTTTTAATTGTACCAATGTATGAATGTTTTAATCTCGTCTGTCACGATTTGACTGTATCTTGGCTCCAGTAGAGGAGAAGGGGGGAGAGAGAGCGAGAGGGAGAAAACAGCTGAATGTGCCGAGCTTGTGGTAGAAGCTGGGGCAGTGATGCAGCAGGATTTCATGGGCTTTGACAGGGCCAGCAGAAGAGGAAGAGGGCATGAAATTGACATTTAATGGGGTATATGTTACCAGGAGTGAGTCATGATTTCATTTGATTAGAAGAGGTCTATAAGGAATCCCAAAAGCTGAATCAGTGGATGGATCAATGCAGGATGATGAAGTGCTCACAGTTGCCATAACTCAAGTGAGCCCTGCTCATTGTGAGCAGCACTGAATCCACGTCCACGTCCAGGATATTATCACGATGGCCGAGCAGCTCAGTCAGCATTAACAACTTTGTCCTTTAGGCTGGAGAGTTGTAGAAACACGGAGTAATCTGCACTGCGAGATGTGACAATGACTGCAGGCGCTGCAAATGTACTGCATGTGTAAGCTGTTACAACTGAATGAGCTTTGCTTAATAATTATACAGACAGGTCGGAAACCTCACAAATGAATCAGCCAGGTTCTACCTGAGCACTGTAACAGTCTCTTTTTTTTTTTTTTAATGACTCATTTCTAGTGGAGCACTTCATCAGTGTGATATAACAAGCGAGGGAAATCTGAACAGTTCCTTCATAGTTTCTTTTTTTAACATACTTTATTATGCTGCTGACACATTTAATCTAATTGCTGTGCTTTTAGACAATAACATCCATGAAAAGAGAAAGAAGTCCATCTAAAATGACTTGTATGTTTGAGCAAGAATTCCTAATCAAGACAAAACTATTGTGGTTATTTCTTGGCAACACTTTACTGACATCCAGGGATTCAAAAATATGTCAAGCAGAAGGTTTATCTCAGCAAATGCAACACGGCCAAGAATTCTGACTCAGTTTTTTTTTGCTTTTGTAACATGGTCATGTAATACTTAGAATTTAGCACCTTCAAACACTCAAAGCATTTGTTTCATTGTAGCTGCTCACTTCGCCTCAGGGCATGCAGTTTTGAAACCTTATTTAAATAGCTTCACCTCCTCATCAATCTGGCATCTTTGACCAGTGAAAAACAGATTATCAATCCTCCAAATCCTCATTTGCTTCGCTCCGATTTGTCTCATGCTCTTATTTATGCTAAAAAAGATTCGTTATCACCAGACAGACATATGGATACTCCTTTTGTCACTTTTATCTGCCGTCCTATTCTTGTATTCTACTTTGAGAAACTATGTTGTTTCTTTTTTACAATCCCCAAAAGGCTGAGAAGCAGAAAAAAAAATAGACGGAAGAACCTGAATCATGCATCTATCAGGTGATGAAAGGAAGGTATCAGACGGTGGCGATTTTGATGCTGAAACTGATATTTCCTGCAGCTTTTGTGTGTGCTGCGTGCGACTCCCGAGCACTGACACTACAAGCTACTCCAGGTTATTTTTATCCCAGTGTACATAGCTCGAACTTAAACCACAGCAGGTTTCTCACCGGTTCTCTATTTCTCTGTTTTAACCTGACAGAGCAAATATCTAAAGAGACACAGTAACTGCTGGTCTGTGCTGTGTGTTTTCTACAGAACCGTCACCACTGGGTTGCGAGCATCGAGGGGCGCGTTTGGCTCGTTTGTCGGGTATTTTAGAGACGAGGCCTCTAGTTCACCTGAGAACTATCCTACTAAAGTTTGACATGTTGGTGTAGAACTCAACAGGCCTTGTGACGTTAACCGATGAGCCTTAAGATTGTGTGGGTCCCTCTTAGGCCGCAAAAACAGCTGACTCATCGGACTTCTGGGGGTGTCCTGTAGTGCACCCGGATGTTGCTAGCAGCTCCTTTGGGTCCTGTGGGTTGCAGGGTGATGCCTCCATGGATTGGGCTCGTTCCAAGGCGTCCCACGGATACGCAGTCGACTTGAGATCCAGGGAGGTTGGAGGCTTGGAGGATTAGCACCTTGGCTCGTGTTCCTTAAGGTGTTCTTGGGCAGTTTTTGAGGTGTTGTGGGGTGTGTAGTTCTGCTGGGAAAGGACAACGTTTAGGTGGATGGTACGTATCAAGGTTTCAAAGCAGTGCATTGCCTTCTGACAAGATAATCAACTTCACATGACAGTGACTTTAATATTGTGGCTCATCAGTGTTTATTGACATTAGTAATTTATTAACAGTCATGATGCAGCAATAGTTCGCTTTGACACAACAGTCTGCTGCCTTTACAGTATCTAAACATCAACGCCAGTGAGTAGCACTTCAAATGTCATACAAAGCAGGTGATACAGTAGCAGGTGGAGGTGAGGAGGATGTGGATATAAAAAGAAGACCCTCATGGCGTTGTTTCAAAAGCATTGCACCTGGGTCTGTGTATGTTAAATGGACCTCTTATAAATGCACACTGTCTAGTTAGTCCAATCAGGTGAAGCCCTCCAGCGTTTCCCAACCGAATGCAGGGTCGCTCATTAGCAACATAAACCTGCTATACAGTTTTTCAGCCTCGCGAGGTGAAAACTGCGCTGATGAAAATGTGTTCTGGCACCAAAACGCACGGCTACCGTCCGAACCCTCGTGCAAAGGTGGCTAAATTTGATCCGAAATTTTGATGCGTCTACTCTTTGAGCATTTCCAGCACAGTATCTATGAGCACCTCCAATGCAAATTGCAGTTTTCCGTGGCGGTACTGGCTGTACTCCAACAGTCAGCTGCTGCTGCTGTTGCCCGGCAACATACAGTATTTCATAGTTCAACTCTGCTCGGGTGCTGAGCAGAAGTCAGCGTTTCATCTCCCCACCATACATTGACATCAGTGCGCTTCTGCATCTGTGCCAACATATGCGTGCTTCTGTTCAGCGTGTTGTTGAAAATCATTTGTTAGGAATTTATTTTTTGTTATTCGTTTGACTCTTATTGTGAAAGCTTCCACATGTGGCTCATTTCTGGTTAATTTTACTGTTAAAACCATGCAGGGAGTTTGATGTTTCTCAGTTGGCTGAAAGAACAGTCCCAGAGCACTACGGGTTACGTAAATAAATGATTACACCTCCACCAGTGTATTTCAACATGTTTTCATCCATTTCCATCCGTCAGATTTGCGACATTACCTTCTTGTAATTGGCAAATGCAGGATACTTTTTAATCAGCGTAGTTATACCTCATGGACTCATTCCCTTCCTGTCTATTCTGACTGTGCTCAGATTGTACTTGCTGCTAAAGTGTCAAAGCACACATTCGCCATCACAGATACACACTGCACACTGTGAAAATTTTTTTAGTCCCATTAAATACACTCGTCGGGGCTTGCCTCATTATCCCAGGAGCAGCGACTTTGAGATTCCTCTAGTCAAGCATTCATTATTAAAGAGCGTGTTGATCATGTTCAGTTTAAGCCTGAGCTTTGAGACTCCTTCCTTTGTCTTCTCTTCATTTGCTACTGCTGAGTGGCCCTGTTTGCTATGCGCCACACAAATCCGTAAAGCATAGCCTTACTCTGGAATATGCTGCTGCTGCTGCTGGCGGCTCGTGTTTACGCGCGCAGAAGTGTGTGTTTACGGCTCGCTCTTCTAATGAATTCTGCAGCCGGACTTCATGTGACTTATTTTTTTCTTTTCATGCGAATTAGTTACAGCTCAGACACTTAGAAAGAGTCCTCTGTGTTAAGCCAGATGATCTGTAGATTAACATCAGTACGCCAAGCCCTGAAAGCTCGCAGACGCGGCACACACAGGGTTCAGCAGCACGTCTTAATAAATAACCTTTGCTGCCACTGAAGTAATGATCTGCGGTTGGATTTCACACTTTCGCAGGCTGTCTGTTGGGTAGGTGACTGGTGCATTTTAATGGCCACAGGCTTTAGCAATCCAGGGAGAGTGCTGGATGAAAAGAGCGCTTAGATGTTTTATCCAGCACTCAGAAAATACTTAGCAAATAACCACACATCTGTACTGGAATAACTGTGATCAAATGACAGTTGTGTTTTTTTCTTTTTTTTTGCTTCAGTCTATTGCAGCTACTGTTTTCAGACAAGAAACAATATCAGCAGGAGTTACGGGTTTATTTGACACTCTAATAAATAATACTACATTAAAAATCAGAAACGGACAGACAGGTGACAAACTAAAGAAAACAAACAATATAAAGTGTCTTAGTAAGGCCACCACATGCTGCCTTAGTGTTGATTTTCAAAGTCTGTGGAACTCTACTGGAAGGATGAAACACAATTTTTTTCAAATTATTTGGTGTTTTGACGATGGAGTTGGAAAGTGCTGTCTGACACATGAATCTAAAATCTGCCACAGGTCTGGGTTAAGATGTGCTGACTGTGAAGGCCAAAGCATATGATTCACAAGATAGATAGATAGATAGATAGATAGATAGATAGATACATAGATACATAGATACATAGATACCCCAATAAAACACTGCTAAATAAATAAGTGCATTGATTTACATCCTTAACGTTTGAAAAAAAAAAAGACAACTAATTTGTAAAGATGTGAGCGTAATGCTGTTTAACGTTTGTGCCTAAATTGATTTAAGCCTTTTCAAACTCCTGCTTATTTTGAATTTGCAAATGCTTTCTCCTACTTTACTCTCTGCACAAGAAAGCAGAAGAATCACAAGAGCGGTTTTCATGCTTAAGATGCACATATACCGTCAACAAAGATGGATGCAGCACTTTACTGCCTGCAGGCAAAACATGGATGGAGTTTTCTCGGATAAGATTTCCGCATGAATTCCTTGATGATATTTTGTCTGTATGAGTCGTAAGCGCTGTTCGCCACATTATCCCCCCACAGTGGTGGAGGAAAAAAAAAACAAAAGAAAAACTGCCAAGAAGTGTATTCTTGATGGCATTAACAGTAGCCATAGTAACTGTGATATCCCCCTGTGCTTAAATGTCACTTTGTGCCTGTGCTCCTGTCCTCAGCCGTCCCCTTCCCCTTGAGCCACCGCCTTACGATGAAGGAAGTGTTTGACTCCGAAGGGAAACCTCGCGTGGATCTCCTGAAGGCCCACCTCACCAAGGAGGGCCGAGTGGAGGAAGCCGTGGCGCTTCGAATCGTCAACGAGGGGGCAGCTATCCTGCGTCAGGAGAAAACTATACTAGACATCGAGGCGCCGGTCACAGGTATCAAAACCTTTTAGACGCATTTACCTGCTACTTAAAGTCCCAGTGCAGCACCTGGAACTCGAAATGATTCAGTGTTCCGGTTGAAGGTTGCCATAGATCTTTTGCAGACATTTTGATTCGTCATAGCAGCAGAAGCACAGGTGAAACAAATTTTGTTAAAGTCGGCTCAGTTCCATTGAGGGTCCCAGTAAAAACCATGACAGTCCTCCGGGATGCACCACATCACGACCCGGGAGCTCACTCACCAAAGTGGAATGCAGTCATTTTTAATGTTTATTTTTATGACAAACCAAAATGTCTGCTCAGATAGAATCCCACATGCGGCTGGAATTTGATCACCCATAAGAAATAGATATGTTTTATCATGTTTTTTTTTCTCCTTCCCATTTATTTGAGGAGTGTCTGAGGTGTGGATTTGTGTCTGTCTGTTTGTACTATTCTGGTTTGAATTTTTGCCTTTACTAAACAGATGATACCTGAGACACACTGGAAATAAGTGACGTTGTGTTCAGAATCCAACCAGGGAAGCGATGTTTAACCTTCTGAACTCCCAACAAGTTTCTGGACGTTTTTTTAGCTCCTGTCACAGTTTTACTCACTGTGGCCTCATTTTTCACTGCAATATAAAATCCTGCACTTCTATGGAAACAGTGCAACCATGACTAGAAGTAGAGCGAGCTCAACGTTTCTTAAATGCAGTATGACAAAGTTATGATGCCATAAATCATTAAAAAAAAAAGTTAAGTTTACATGAATAACATTCTCCATGTGCGAACAGCTGTTATCACTACTAGAAAAAAATGGCGGCTCCAAATGCTACAGACATGTGCAATTTCCTTTTTTTTTTTTTCATATTTGTTCTGCTACGTGTAAGCTCACAGCCTGCAGTTCAGCCCAGTTCAGCTGAAAAGCCCCTGAATGTTTGTCATGTGACTGTTGGTCTCAGCTGAGTCACTAATGACTTCACATTTTATGCCCTGGAGCGCACATTTTATTTATTTATTTTTTTTCAGAATCTGGTCAGAGCAAACTTTTTTTTTTTAATTGTTTGTTACATTTAATTTAAAAAAAAATCATACAAAATAAAGTTATTTGAATGAAAATCACAATTTTAGGTTTTAAATTCTTATACAGTTTAGTAGTTTTTCTGAAGAAACAGCACACAGCAGACGAGTAATTCATCAGAAAGTTACATTTCTGATTAATTTAACCATTTTAACCGTTTCTGGCCCTGATAAATGGAGCAATTTTGCAGAATTTTAAATTAGGATTATGTTATAAGCCTCTTAAACACTCAGCCACACACTGTCTTTGTGGTACGGCTTTCTTTGTCTGCCAAATATTCAAGTTATATCCACTCCAGTTTTGTGTAAATTAACATTTAAAGCTGAAAAAGAACATTTTAATGTATTACATCAGTAGTTTAGTAATACTTTTAATTGTATGCTCTTTCTGTAAGAAGGTGACAGAATATATTTCGATTAACATTTCAGCACTTGGGATAGATTTGCAGCCCGTCCAGAAACCACAAAGTATATTCACATCATGATTATATTGTCAAAAACAGTGAGCTCTCCAGGAAACTGCTCCTTCTCTCTCTAGCAAATGCTTCCATGTTAGCTTTGGCGATGACATTATTATTATTTATTTATTTAATATTATTTAGTGAAGACAGAGGCAGCTGGAGACCCAGATAATTTTCTCAGATGTTGGAGGAGACGAAATAGAACAAAAAATAGAATATTGGACTCATATGGACCAGGTGGCCAGAAAATCAACTCCCAATCAAGGCTAATGTTCAGGGGTTTTTCTGGCTCAGAATGGGCCTTTGGGGTTCACGACGCTCAACAGTAAGCATGATCAGTCCGTGTACAGTAAAGATAATGTGTCCGCGTTGCTTGATTTGGCAGAAATCTGTGGATTTTCGGGGGTTTTTTTGTGACCATTTGATAAACAAATATGTTTAATATGCTTGAGTCAACGACACCCCATTAGCCCTCTAAAATTCCAGTCATTTTTGGACATTTTTTTGCTTCTGTCACATATTTTTTTCACTGTGGGCTCATTTTCCACTGTCCTGTACCTCTATGGAAACAACACGATCATGGCTACAAGTAGAGGGAACTCAGAAAAGGTATTTCATGCAGTATGGCCCAAACACAATGCCATAAAACGGAAAAATAGGAAAAACTTATGATTTTTGATTATTTATTTCACAAAAAAACGAAAAAGAAAAAACAGAAAATTGGTCACAGCTGTTCTCATAACAGGAAAAATGGTGACTCTACATACTATAGATATTTTACTACTTAGATTTTTAATGTGTTTTAATGTGTCTCCTGTCTGCTCTGTGTAAACACAACCTGCAGTTCAACCAAGTTCCTCTGAAAAGTCAAGATATCTGTTCTACTAGTGAGGAGTAAATAAGTTAGTCAAGTACATGCTTTCTGTGTTTTTATTCTTGTTCTGTACCAATTATAGTCTGAGTAAAAGTTTTGTTTTAGTTTGAACAAGAGCAGAATGTGGATCAAAGTTTTAGAACTCTGGCTGTCAGGTTGGAAAAATATTATTTTAGAGGTAAACTATCATATGTAAAGGTATAAGGTGTCAGATTAGAAAGAAAATTAGGATTGCTAGAAGTTTGCAGCGTCTTCATATGTTAGCAAAAACATTTTTATTCTGAATATTTACAGTCTGAGCTAGTTATGATGTAGAATATGAGCTACCAGAAACAAAAAGGACTGTAATGCTGTGCACTCAAACTGAAGTTTACCATCAACAGAAATCTATCATGACTTTTTCCTGTAAGTTTGTTGTTACTGCATTGTGTCTGTTTAACAAATTGATGGTAAATACAGGATAAAGGTCAATCCAGTACAGTTTTCTCAGTGAATAACTCCTCAGGGTTTGCTAGCTGATTCACAGAACTCTATTCCAGTGTTCTTTCTTTCAATCTTTCTCCTGAATGACAGACTCCATCTTCAACTTTCTGAACTCAAAAACCTGCCAACGGGTTTGAAAAGTAAGGTACCAAAAACTTCACCATTTATCACAGCGAGACACTGTAATACCAGAGGGAGCCGAAGTAGTTCCATGTGGAAAATGAGCCAAATTAAAGCTTAAAGTTGTGAGATTTCAAACCAATTTATTTTACTTTTGAAAATTTCCCAAAGATAAACTATTTGCAGGAACCAGATTCTGTTAAAACCAAAACATTCATATCATTACCAGAGAAGCCATTAGTGACTTGTGTGAAATTTAGGAGTTCTGATGACCTGGGCTGAGCTGCAGGCAGTGCTGACACACAGCAGGGGGGAGGCAAGTATGAAAACAAATTTAAATGTCAGCAGTAAAATATCTAATATGTGAGGTCCCATTTTTATTCAGTACTGGTAACACATTGTGGCCACTTAAAAATGTTGTACATGTTGATTCCAGATCTTTTAAAACTTTTGTAAAACCAATAAGTCAACAAGAATTTTTTCTCTTTTCATGATTCACGGCATTGTAACTGTGTTATAGAGCACAAAAGATACTTTTAAGTTCAGTTTGCTTCAAGCCATGGTTGTGGTGTTTCTATAGTGGTGCAGGACTTCATATTACAGTGAAAAATGAGTCCACAGTGAGAAAAAAAGGTGACATCACATGGTCCTAATGAACCTATAAATTCAGATGCATTACAAACTGAAAGGTGCTCAAATGGAAGGGTAACAAACAGAATATCAGAATACAAAACTGCCAAATACCAAAAGCTGGATACCTGGTCAGAGTTGTAGTCTATTGTAGCTGTATTCTCGTATTTTAATCAAAGAATTCAACTATATTCTAGCCTGTATTTCAGCAGGATTCAATATGAATGTTGCCTTCTTTTGTCAAAATACCAAAAGGGTTATTTTGGAGCATCCGGTGGTGCTGCTTACAACAAACACCACATAATCGCAACACCCCCTCTCCAGATTGGAACCTTTGCTGCAACCTTTACTCATCTCACCATCGTTTCTGCTATTTCAAAAAAAAAATATTTAAAAAAAAAAAAATTTTACAATCAAAAATAAAGGCAAAATGGCAAAACAGTAAGTTTTCATAAACAGTGGGGTTTCTACAGAGAACCTTGTTCATATTTCTCAAATGAAAGTCATGACAAATGTTGTGTTGCTGCTGGCACTGAAAGTTGATCATCGTTTTTGCAATACAATGAAAAAAGTCCCACAAAAAAAAAAAAAAGCCATGGAAACACTTTGTAATACCTGCCTATCAAAGAGTAGTTAGTCCAGACGAAGCACTGAAACTCATTAGCATTTTCAGCAATTAATTCTGTATTATATCCTTGCAATCCTCGTAAATACTTGTGGACTTTGGATTTTGCTGCATTGTGAGGCTTCACTCTCACTCTGTTTACTAGCATCTATATTTAATATCGCAAAGCGTGTGACATTAAATATACATGCAATTATGCATTTAATTAGCATCCCATCAGCTTAATTGTCATAATTAAAAGCGAGCGCGGTGTTCAGCCAAAACAGAGGTGACAAATGGATGGAGCGCACACTGGCTTGAGGTGGAGTCTCCTCGTCTTGACTGGCGTCAGGAAAATGGAGGCTTTATGTATTAAGCATGAAATATGTATGATGGCCTGAGCGTTGTGTACGGCCGTTTGTACACTTGTTTTATATCTCCGCGAGCTCGAGTGGGGTTCGAATGTCTCCGCCGCTCCATGCGTGTGTTCTATATGGCCGTGCATGCGTGCTTGCATGTATGTGTGCGTTTGATTGCTTTAGTCACACATGCAGTCTCCCACTCACATTGCTCTAAGCTTTGAGTGGGCGAAGGCCACTGTGGAGCTGATAGGGGAGACGGAAAAGCGAGAGGAGATGGAGGATGAGTAGGAGAGAAGGAGACAGAGAAAGATGATAATGAAAAATTGAAGGCAGCAAGGAAATGAGATGTAGGTTTGCACTCCAGAGCCATAGCGTTCGCTACCAAAAAGTATATATCTCCCCCGAGGGCTTGAGATTTTTTTTTCCCACCGCCTTGAGGTGAGAGCGTCTCATTTCTCAGAAGCAGAGGACGGAGACCTTTCAGCCAAAGAAATACCTCAACATAGCGACGACCTAAGGACAGGAGAATGTACTCCATTGCTTTCTCAATTTGAAATGCTTCAGTTATTATGCCTGTGTTTTAATAGACGGGTGGCTGTAACAATACATAACATCGCTGCAGTAATACACACAGGCAGACTGTTAGTTTTACAAGTTTGTAGCTGGTCTGAGCTGCTCCTCTGTTGACTGTTTAAGATGAAGCACATCGTTTTTCTGCTTGACACAATTCATAGACGTTTAACATAATAAAACTTAAGCGACAGCATCAGTAATTATCTGGTCTGTGTTCAATTTATCAGATATAAAGTGGACACAATAATCCAGAGCGATGATGATGATGATGGTGAAGTGTGCAAATGCAAATATTCAAACACAACATACTTGTTTTTTTCTGCTCATAACCTACGTAGCTATATTGTCGTCTAACAACACAACATCTCCATATGTAATACTTCATTAATCATAGCAGCCCCATTCTGAGTTTACTGCTTTTTTCTTAATCGTAGCAGCAGGCATGATTACAGACAATACAAATGGTCTTTGTCAAATACAATTATTAAGACTGTGAAGATACAGATATCAACACAAACTGTAGCATCTCCACGCAGTTGCACCGCCTGCTTATCTGTCTATTTATAAAGCTAACCTGCACGCAGCAAAACAGGATACACTCAATACCTCTGATAGAAACCAGTCAGAATATTCTCTACCGCCTCTCTTGAACCCTCAGAAACACTGAAAAGCAGATACGGATCTCTTGCCCTTTTTCTGAGTCTCCAGAGGAAAAACACTGAGATTGAGTTTCCTGATAGTACAGTTAAAACCGGCTGGTGTTTTAGAAGCTACAACAACTGATTCACTAAATGAAATAATCAAAATAATAACACGGGACATATTTTTGTTCCTCATCAAACATGCAAATAAATTGATGTGTACACATGCGTACAAAGAACAAAGATATTCAATGAGATTTTTTACTATTTTTTTTGATTCCGTAACATCTGCCGTCCTTTGGTTGGTTTCCAGTCTGCGGGGACATCCACGGGCAGTTCTTTGATCTTATGAAGCTGTTTGAAGTGGGAGGATCACCAGCCACGACGCGCTACCTGTTCCTCGGGGACTACGTTGACCGCGGCTACTTCAGTATTGAGGTAAAGTCATGAGAATTTCATTGAGTGTGTCATGTGGGAGAAGTAAAAAAAACAAAGCTTCGTGCATTGGCTATGAGGTGACACTCTGTCCGTGTGTTTGCTTCGACAGTGTGTTTTGTACCTTTGGTCGCTGAAAATCCTCTATCCAAAGACTCTATTTTTACTTCGTGGAAATCATGAATGTAGACATTTGACAGAATATTTCACCTTCAAACAAGAATGTGAGTACCTCTCAGTGTTTAACATATTGTTTTGATGTTTTCTCTCCGTGTCTTGCTAATGTCATGTCAAGCCTGCAGCGGCTTTTTGGCGGGAAACGTGGCTGTCAAGTTAATTCTGTATGATTGCCCAAAAGGGGACGGAGTTCTCTGTAAACAACTGAAAATGTACAGTTAATAACAGAACATATGCATGCACGGTATGTACACATTACACATGTAGGAGGTAAACAGCCTCTGGGCAGATCATGAATCTTGTAGGTTTTTCTCAATAAATACATACAACGCCTGCAGCAAACATATTAAAAATGAACTTACTGAGGTCGTTAATAAAACTACACCTCACCTATAGAACTGTACTTAAGTAAGCTGTTGAAATATTATCCTTGGCTTGCGTGTCTTCCTTTTTAATTTATTTGCATGTTACTTAAAAAGAACTTTTATATTTCAGTGTGCTTGTTCTGTAATGTTGTGTTGTCTCAGATGAACAGTTTAAGTCTATGTAAACATACTTGTCCATACAAACAGTTTTTGTTCTTCCATCTGATTACATTTTCGTCCTCTGGCAGGTAAAATCAAGTACTCAGAGCAGGTGTATGACTCATGTATGGATGCATTTGACTGCCTTCCTCTGGCTGCTCTCATGAACCAACAGTTTCTGTGCGTCCACGGCGGACTCTCACCGGAAATACACACCTTAGATGACATTAAAAAGGTGATGACCTACTGCCTCAGCGAATACAAGGGTTGTACATTGTTTGTGTGAGTCTCATGTGATTTTTATTTTTTATGTAAAGTTGGATCGGTTCAAGGAGCCGCCAGCGTTTGGGCCCATGTGCGACCTGCTGTGGTCCGATCCCCTGGAAGACTTTGGCAACGAGAAAACCCAGGAATACTTCAGCCACAACACGGTGCGAGGCTGCTCCTACTTCTACAGGTGAGTCGTTTCTTTGTGCTCCTCAACTTCAGTTCTGCGGATTGGATTATTCCAACTTGCTATTATCCATGCTAAGACACTTAGAGCTTATTTAAAGGATGGTTTCATTCATCAGTAGTCTCAAACTGTCTTTATGTCATCTTTCATTGCGAGCAATCACCAACCTAAACATCACATACAGCACTGATTGCATGAGCTTGACGCATGTGGCTCATCGCAGGCCTCTAATTGCACTTTAGTTTTAGAGGAGTGATAGACTGCATCTCACACTGTGAATCCTTCTACAACAGATCCTATTTGGTATAAATAGGGTAAAAAAAAATACATGTTGGTTGGTCCTGAAATAGATGGCTAGTTATCAGTTGTGACTGTGTTACAGGCTGTCTGCTTAGACAGTGTGTTTAACCCCCTGACCCCCAAGCATTATGTGTTTTTCTTCTCCTATCACATTTTTACTTACTGCAGGCTCAAAGTCCTTCACCTC